TTTTGTTTAGGAAATTGATTAATAAAGCAATATTTCTTATCAAAATTCTTTTAATTAAATTCAAACAGAGCTGGGCGGTACTTAAGTACAAGTACTTGAAAAAGTACTTAGAGTACATTTTAGGGTACTTTGTACTTGATACTTAAGTACTTCTTTGCATATGTACTTGGTACTTGTACTTGTAACATTCTGCTAAGAGTACTCAGTACTTGGGACTAAAATATAAGTACATTTTTACAAGTACTTTATACAAGTTGAGACCTGTCTGCGCATCCAGCTAAGTACGTAAAAGGTTTTCCGCGCCACAAATTGTGGCCCACAATACGTGTTGTTTATGAGTATGCTCGTATGGTCAATCAAAATACTTAATAAAATTTATAAATAAATATATATATACCTACCTATATATATATATATATATATATATATATATATATATATATATATATATATATATATATATATTAATTTGCCATTTTTATAAAAAAAAATAAGAGCTCTTATCAAAAATTAGATGGCTTACGAATTTTGAAAATTACAAAAATAATCAAATGAATTTTTAAAGGTCGCTCACAAATTTCAAAAATTTTCAAAAACAATCGATACAGTCGCTTTGTTTTGGACAGTAGCGAAAAGTAATTAGTAAAAAAGATATTATTTTCGAAATCCGAAGTAGGTATATGTCTATATCTACTAGTAATAGATATTATCTAGGGTGTAAGTAGTTTAATAGTAGCTTCAGAGTTGAAATTTTAAGAAACTGATTACAAAAATTTACCGTGGCAAGCAAAAAAATGTTCGAATTTTGATCCAAAAATTGTTCGAATTGAGTCAAAATTTTAGACTATTTTTAGAATTTTGTAAATTATTGAGCAACCATTAATTTTTTTAATCAATTGATCTCATTTTTGAAGATAGCTTTTATAGCATGATAAACTAATAGTATTTCATACCCTCTTAAAATGAAATAGTCAAAATTCTACTATTTGAATTAGTACCAGCATTTTTTACTAATAAAATAGTCGTTTTTACTTTTAAATAGTTATTTTTTACTACGAAAATAGATAAAGTTTGACTAATTGTTAAATGGCCCATAAAAACAAATAAAGATGCAAAAAGTTTCGCACAAAACAGCAACACAAATAATATATTCAACTTTAAAATACTATGAACAATATTTATTGACAACTAAAATTGCTTTTTATAAGAGCGGCTGATAGCCGAATGGGTTATGACAACAGCTTGACAAGCTTGACAAGTGACAGACCTGAGTTCAATCCCCGGCTGGGTCATAACTTTTTTTAAATTTAAATCTACTTTTACTATTTCATTCAGTAGAATTTGACTAATTATTAGTGACTGCTTTTTCGCTATGACAATTAGTCAAATATGACTTATAATTAGTTATTTTTGACTAATTCATTTTAAGAGAGTTAAGTCAAAATTTTTGAACATTTTTGGAATTTTTAAAATTATTGAGCGACCAATATTTTTTTTAATCAATTGAGCTTATTTTTGAAGAGAGCTTTTATAGCATGATAAACTAATAGTATTTTATAGGAAACTCGAAAAAAATTGTTTTTTTTTAAATAACTATTATCTGTTTGATAAGCAAAAATATATTCGAAAATACGAATTTCTAAAAATAAAAAATTTCGGCCTTGGACAACAGAAAGTTTCCCACATGGTCTAAAAAAAATTACATTCACAAAGTTATTCCCCTTAAAAATTCTGTTTTTAACAACAAAAAATAATATTTAATCTTTAAAAGAGTAGAAATGTTTTGATACTTTTGGGATTGAATCCTTAATGTATCGAATCACTACGAGAGCGGTATAATTTAACTCATCTGATACTTCGCAGATCGAAATAGGTTTCGATCGCGAGTAAGTTGAGAGCTATTCAAAATCAGTGATTTAATCCTAGTCCCTGGAATAAAGGAAAAAAGCAGTGATTCAAAGCCAAAGGCGGCAGATCTTAAATGTCTCGCAGCGTCTCAGCGCTATGAGATATTAATATCACTCTACTAATTAAAGGAATGAGAATAAAGATTTGGCAACGCCGATTTAACAAGAGAGAGTTAGGTATAGCGTGAACTGCAGGCACAACAAAGATAGTTATATTGTCATGCCCACGCGGAAGTCAAATCGTACAGTTTGTTAAATATTTGTAGCGACAACAGCGCCAGCGGTATATACCCGAACTAAAGGAAAGTTTTGTAGGTATATATGGCACGCACTGACTTCCAACCTAAAATTTGAAATAACGCTTTTTTCGACCTCTATATGACATTGCGCTAAAAAAATGCATTTTTCGTAGTGACTTCCGAAATCGGAAGTCACATCGTCATATATGAAGTCACAACGTCTAGTGAGTATCTATTTTGGAAGTCACTTGGTACTATTTATCAATATATATATATATATATATATATATATATATATATGGGTACACCGATAAAGGCCTATTATAATTTGCTGTCGCCGAGAGTTGAGAGCGGAAAATGAGCATTTAATTTTGATTTTGCATGTTGACGACAATAATTTTCGAGCATATTATTTGAACATTGTTTAGTTTAGATTATTTTTTGACGTTTCTAAAAACCAATAGAAACTTTTAGTTTCAGTCATGTGTGTATATTTTAGCTAATCAAAACATTATTATAGTGAAAATAATGCCACATGCATTATTTCCGCGAAAACACCATGGCATCTGTCTTTAAAATAAATTCTGTCATTTACAGACTGTCAGTATACTAAAGTAATAAATAAAATGAGCAGCTAAAGGTTTAGCTCTACATCGGAAGAAAAAATAAACAAACAAAATTTGTTTATTTAATTAATATGCGAATAAAGAAAAATTTAAAACCCCTTAATCAGTTATATTAGTAAATTCTATAATAAATGTCAAAGAAAAAAAATCTTTTGAATACCTACCTACCACTCAAGAGATCAATAAATTAGAAAATAATTCTACATATATTTCTCAAACTTGTTGTCATAAGGCAATAGATAACAAGTTTTCGAAATATCTGTCAAATTATTTTCAATTTATTTTCACTCTCTTGTGATATTACTGTTGAATATATGTCAACACAAATGTTTGGATCAGAGCATGTACCAATCCGCACGCTTGCCTACACTGCATGCATTTTGCTATCTGGGTTGAGTGGTTATATTATATATTTATCTATTTTGCGTTTATAATGACTTCATTATAACACGCCATTTAAATGTTTTGTGTGCTTTAATGAGGTTCATTATAGTACGCAAAATTTTGATTTCGAAGCTTGGCATCCAGATAAATTGTCAGTGACAATGGCAACCTCAATTTGTTCAAGCGAATTTGATTAAAATAAAAGAACAATAGAATTTGTATATTTCTAAGATGATTTATTTCACATAATTATAACTTAACTTACGTTTACGTTTCAAAACTTTGGTATTTCCAAAGCTTCACTAATACCAAGTCTTGGTACCAGCGAGTCTTGTCTTGTTGACATGTACTCTTAAAATACAATTATAAAGTACTGAGTACTGTACTTGCAGTACTGTACTTAAAGTACTTTGAAATTTGTATAGTACTTGGTACTTTGTACTTATTCAGGAATTATACAAAGTACTTTGTACTCGGTACTTAAGTACATTTTACTTGTACTTGGCCCAGCTCTGAATTCAAACAAATACTTTATTTACTGGGTCTATAAAAAGGTTTGTACAAATCTACAAAATGTTTGTACACTCACAGGCAAAATAATCGATCCACACAAATGTCCTATGAATTTCAATCGCAAATAACTTTTTTATTTGATGTCGGATTTAAAAAAATATTAAAGAATATTGTGGATAAATTAATGGACAATCGCTCACATTTTAAAAAATAACTAAAAAATAGACTTACGTTTATAATATACAGGTTTAAACAAAAAGATGTTTTTTACCATAAGTTTGAGACACTCTGTAGAGTGACAAAACCGTATATTGTTCTAAATTAAGTTTTATTTATCAAGTCACATCTATTCTTAACAGTTTTGTTTTTGGTTCACCTCGATATATTTATTTTTGTGGAAAATATGGATTTAAAAAAAAAACAGCAATTTCCAATATTTGTCTGTATGAAGAACTAAGGTTGGTATGGTCCATCCATATGGAGCTATGGAGAATGACAGTGACAGTTTTGTTGAATCATCCCATACTTGGACATGTCATACACGGCTTTCAAAAGCTATCAAATTGTTTTTTGCAAATTAATGTTTAAATTTTGAGGTGTCTTCTTACTTTAAAAAATGGATATGTCTCCGACTGATGTTGCCAGAGCCATTAATTTAATCCAGGATGGACGGTCACAGTATTACGTGGCAAGTGTTTTAAACGTCACAAGAAGTAAAGTACAAAGGGCAACATCAGTCGGAGGCATTTTTAAAAGTAAGAAGACACCTCAAAATTAACGCATTAATTTACAAAAAACAATTTGATAGCTTTTGAAAGCTGTATATGACATGTCGAAGTATGGGATGATTCAACAAAAATGTCACTCATCCTATATAGGCTATGGATGGACCATAGCAACCTTAGTTCTTCATACAGGAAAAATATTGGAACTGTTAAAAATAATTTATAACAATATACGGTTTTGCCACTCTACAGAGTGTCTTAAACTTATGGTAAAAAACATATTTTTGTTTAAACCTGTATATTATAAACGTACGTGTATTTTTTAGTATTTTTTTTTAAATCTGAGCGATTCTCCATTAATGTATCTACAATATTCTTTAATATTTTTTTAAATCCGAAATCAAATAAAAAAGTTATTTGCGATTGAAATTTATCGAAAATTTGTGTGGATCGATTATTTTGCCTGTGAGTGTGTAATTACAAACCACTTATTAAATTAATTAACAGATTACAGTTGGTTGTAAACTTAACAAATATTTTTTACTGTGAATATTTCTGAAAATGAGTAATAAATTATTTAATAATTAATATGATTTTATTTTAGAGAAATCGCGTGGTAAGAAGCCGCAAACGGGTGGCCATAATCCTGTTACTGCTGGCATTTGTTTTCGCGGCCTGCTGGTTACCATATCACATCATTAATCTTCTTATGGACACCGGTCTCTACCACGGCTCGCATAGCGCATCCCTGCAGCAGTATCTTTTGTTGCTGGGACACGCGAATTCCGCCCTCAATCCCGTCATCTACTGCGCGCTATCGAAAAAGTTCAGGAGCTCCATCAAGGACATTTTCTATTGCAGGATAACTTTTCGAAGAAAGAGGCCCTTAATGAACGTGAGTTATTGATCTTTAAAATGCTTTTTGACGGAATTATATGAAAGAAAACAACTACTTTAACTTTAGAGGGCGGGTGATTCCATTAAAACTTTGTTTTTATAGTAATTTAAGAAATAAACAATAAAGTTTTTCCAGATATAATTTTGATATGTGGGTAATGTGGTAATTTCAAATCGTCCAGAGAGATTTTTTTTATCAATTTTTTATTGAAAAAAATGAGATATGTACGTACATTTTGCCGTGGGTTTTTCTACTAGAAAATTATTTTATTATCTCAATGGGTCATTTTCAAGAAACACCCGCTTTCAGGAAAATGAAGATCAAAATATTTTTTTGCTTAAATTGACTTTTGGTTGGATTTTTATAAATGTTTAGAGTTTTGTTTACTTACATTTAAGACAGGCAGTGCACTTTTTAACTTTTTTTACGTTTTTTTCAGAAAAAATGTGTTTAGCTAGCTTTATATATCTCCATTACCAATTTGAAATCCAAAATTTAATTCAATACAAAAAGTTGTTTTAAAAACATAATTTGAAATAAAATGTACTTAGTTCACAAACTTTTGACTCCAATTTTTTATTTTATTTTTTATTAAAAATTGTATGCTTTTTTTTAAATATGTATGTTCGTTGTTAACAAACAATACCTTTAATATTTTCTTTTACTGTATTAGTGAATTAAACTCTAATTTATAAACACGTATTATAATATACCAAGTGTATAAAAATCATTTTAAGTATTTTTTTTAAACTAAAAAAAGTAACGAAATAGACATTTGGTATCACAACGGACAGGGGTACACAAATGACTTAATCAGATAACGTAAAAAAGAAACTATATAGGGTGGTACGATTTTAGAGTAATGCATAAACAAAATCCCTTGTAGTGGTGCTCACTTGTAGAATACCAACTTAGATTTCTAAATTGTAGACACCCTTTTTCTTTGACTATAAGCTGGTGAAGGTCCCTTTTAGTACTTTTATATTGCGTGGAATTTTTCCTTGGATGTAATCTATATCATGAGTTGAAATTACAAATAATTTAAAATTGGTTAATCATAAACTACTTTTAATAAAAGCGAAGGTAAATATCCACTTTGTTGTCGAAAAATTCTATTGCGTTACCCTAAATTCCATTGCGTTACCATAAGGTAACATAGTGGACTCGGTAACGCAGTGGACAAAATTTTGTAAAACCATATTTAAAAATAATAATAAGACATTACAGTCATTAATAATTATTACTCTCAATGAGCTTTAGTGCCCTAAAATAAACATACACATGAAAAATAGTATTTTTTCTTACCTTATTTTTATAATTTTTTTGAGTAACTTAGCGGACAAACAATTATTACATTCGCGTTACCCGCACCTATTTCAACCGATATCTTCTTCCTGATTGAATAAATAAATTCAGCTGGGTAATGTGTACGTCCGAGCATCATTTGTTTATCAGGTGAGAACCAAAAAAGTTGCCATATATATGTTTTTTTAATATTCTATCGGTAACGCGACGGACGTAACACAACGGAAAAAATGTCTGGGAAAAAGTAGATTAAAATTAATTATTTTATATATAAATGGTTTACTGTATTAACTAAGGGTGTTATGGATTGCTATAAAGCAACACAAAGTTCTGGTTATTCAATATTTAAAAAAAAACCTGTATGTAAGTTTTATAAAACGCTAATGGGACATGCGAAAATGTGTGTTTCACAAGTTTCAAAATTAAAAAAAAAAAATTCTGAAATTACTAAACAAAAATTTTCTGAAAGAGTTTACTAAGGGCTTGTTAGGCTTTCACTTGGTTTTTAAATCAATAAGATCCGATAATTTTTAACAAAGTTATTGGAATTCAAACTTACGCACAGTGTTTTTTGAAAACGACCCCAATACAAAAATACAAAAGTATTAAATACTTTCTTAACGCCAATATTTGAAAAGATTATATAAATGTTTGTTAATTTTGCCGCAGTAGTGCAGTTAACTAGATTTAACTGATAAAGCGTTTAAAAATTTGCGTACAGTGCCCATAAAACATTATCTTCTCTTTTACTGTGAAAAACTGCTTCCATATAAATTGTTAGTCTATTTGCAAGGGATAAATTTTGATTTAGACAGGAAAATTCCACACCTGTAATTTTTAACCAATCAAAACGTGTATTTTTGATAGATCACCATGGCAACGGTTGAATTTTAGTGGAAATTTTTTCCTCGTGGGTACCCAACAGCGAATTATACTGGAAATTTTTTTGACGTTTATAATGACAGAATATTTTTTTGACAATCTGGTTTTTATTTGTTTACATGATAATTTTGATACATTTCCATTACAAAGTTTAGATGTTTTCTATATTCGTTGGACACCTCCTTTCTTCTTAATGGCGAAAATGTAGGACTTGAAATAAATTAAATGTCTATGTCTAATGAAATATATATAATATTTAGACACTATTCTATTCACCTTTTTTTCCATTTAGCACTTTGAGTTTTGAATAGTTAAGATGCAAATATTCGTGAACAATTCAAAACAAATTTTCTTTCTTCAAGTAGGAGCCACAATCCTCTAATAATGCGGGTAAATAAGTCATTGCACGATGATTGATCATTACAGCAGACAATTTCACATTTTTTTACGTCGTGCCGCTTGACAGCTTCAAAACTGAAATAACTTTTAGGTTGGGGTTGACTTAGTTGCCATGGTAACTAAATAATCAAGTCGAGGTCAAGTTAAATCAAAAAATAAATTTTAATTATTTAAACACAATTTGGTGTGGAATTTTCTTACCGAATACCACACGAGGTCAAATTAAATCCGGAAATTTTTTGACCTCTAGTGGTATTACTAGTGAAAATTTGAGATTTTAACACCGGTAGATTCTCAAATCAGAAATTCCGACGGGAATTTCAATAAATACAACCTACACATTTTTAATACTTTGAGATAAAATTTTGCAATTATAGTAATACAAAAAATCAAAGGATAAAATATTTTCTTAACATAATCATCAATAATTGTTTAAGTTTAATTAAAATAATAACGGGCAATGTTAACATTAATTAATGGTGAAAATTACTTCACAAATGTTTATTGAGATGGTTACTTTATTTTCGTAGAGATGAGCTTTATACAAATATTTATATAAATTATCTTTTTGATAATATTAAGTATTTGTCGTAGAAAAAGTATAGTATGCAACTCGTTCATGAACTTTTCTAGGCACTCAATTATTTAAACACACGCTCGCAAGCTCGCTCGTGCCTAAAATAGCTGTTATCAGCAGGGATAATGAACTCATTATGCTTTTAACCAATCGGGTTTTAAATTGGGAGGAGACTAACATAATTGGTAAAAAGTGAGGTTAAGCATTTGACAAATGTCAGATTTTATTTATTTATTTTTGAAAATCATTCAATTATCTACCAATTGTAGTTGATAGAGTAAAGTATTACACTAGAGATTATGCGTATTATCTCTCGTATAATAATAGCCTGTGAAATTTTTTTTTGTTCCTTCTGATTTTTGTACACACCAACCAAAGGTCATACAGAAAATATGTTGTGATATTTTTGCTCTACAAAAAAAGTTTCCTTCAATTTTTTGCTAAACCAATTGGTTAAAAAGTTACCTATTAAAGATCAAAGTTCAACTCACCATCAATTTTGCCGATTTTTCGGTATTGAAGCGGAACTACTCAGTTTTATCAAAAAATTAAGCATGAAATTTCATGCGGAACATAAATTTGACATTAAAAGAGTCAAAATTGAACCTACCCTCGTCAAAGTTTTTTGTTTTGAGCGCGTTCCACCAACGTCAAATACCGACAGACAGCTGTTTCGACCTATATTGGGTCTCATCAGTGTCGGGAAGCTTGGTGTAGTGGAACACACCCAAAACAAAGGACTACCTGAGCTTATTTGAATTTGGTGGAACGCACTCAAAAGAAAAAACTTTGTCGAGATGGGAGTTCAATTCTGTCTTATGAATATTACCAGTAATGGATCAAGAAAGTTTTTGAAGAAACTAAGAAAATTGAATGAATATTAGAGTAGTTAACCAATATTTTTTTTCATTTACAAATGTAAACAAGAACACTGTACTAAAATAATGTCGTAATAATTTTTTTTTCAATTTTATTAAACATATTTAACTTTGCTGCCTTAAATTTCAGTATTTGATAACTCGATAGGCCACCAAATTTTTTTATTATTTGATTTTGAAGTAGAGAAATTTTTTTTCCCATGTTATTCTTATGAAAAATCAAAAAGTGCGAAGCGGAGCATTAAGGCATTAAAATTAAGAGCTTATATACCTAAACGAAACTTTTAAGCCTGTTGCGAACACCCACCTTTCTGCTTGTAGTCCGCAGTGCTGACTACTACACCACCGAGGGTTGAAAGCATTAATATAAAGTCTCTATTACAGTTCTATTTTAGATCTTTCGTTCAAAAGTAAGATTGTATGACATACTGAGTGGGGAAAGTGTTAGCTAACGTTCTGCTCCAGACCAGTCAAACTTTGACTATCAAAGATAGGCGGAACACACTTAACGTTCATGTCTGTGGAAACGGACCTCTGACTCAAGAATATTCCTGTCATTAGACGGCGTTAATTGCATAAGGTTCATTGCTTTGGTAAAGTGGCTCACGTTTCAAAGCTTTTGCCAGGATCGAGTTGATGAGTAGGGTGGAGCGAAATATGAATATTTTTAAAATTGAAAACGCCTGTATAGAAAACTTGTGTATGACAAAAATATTTTGGTGAAAAAAAATATTATTTTAATTCCTTCCACCGCGGTGCACCGCCCCTATCCTATATACAAAAATCATAAAATTCAGACAAGAGCAGAAAACGGTTAAAAAATATTTTTTTTGAGCCAAGATATTTTAGAAGCATAATTAACTTTTCCAAAATTGGGCATATTGATTTAAAAAAAATAAGATAAATGGGGGCTTCCGGTCAATTTTAAAATACAAATATTTTCATATTTGACACTGACTCGGGGTCCG